AGTATAAACTTTAAAAAAAAATTACCAAATTTTAAAGTGTCCCGTAAATTAGAAATGTTCCAATTATAATATTTTTGTACACGATCCATTGATTCAAAAATGTATTAGTAATTTAATACAACATTACCTGTGGATACAACCATTTTACTATCAATCAAATTCCAGATTTCGTTCTTTTTTTTTCCAAATATCAGAATCCGTTTCGTTGTTCTCAATTATGGAACCGTATTTTAACACTAGTTCCACAATTAATTTATTTTCTAATGGCGAAAAATTGGCTTGCCTATCTCTCTTTGGTTTATTCATTTTCAAAAATTATAAGTATAAATTATAAAAGAATAATTCATATTTAAAAAAAATCAAAATTTAAATTAATAAAACAAAAACTGACACAATCTCGTGTTCAACACGGTAAACTATTATCACTTAAAAAATAATTCATATATATAAAGTTTTCCTTATCACATAACAGCTGATTTCATTATTAACTAATAACAAAAAATTGTACTGTTTAAAATGATATAATTGATAGTTAGTACAAGCGGTAACATTGTAATAATCAGGGCTGTGAATTTAATGCACCAAAAAACTATTAAATATGCATGCAAATATGCACTAAAAAATGTCAAAATATGCATGAAAATATGCACTAAAAAATATCAAAATATGCACTAAAAATATCAAAACATGAATAAAAATATGCTATTAAAATTTCGTAAAATATGTACTAATTTTTCAAAAATATACAAAAAACAACAAAAATTATTTTTTTAAATACTAAATATAATTGTTAAAATTTATGGGTATTACATGTTTATATAAATTTAAATTAATTGCGATCTTCATCATCGTCGTTTACGGCATCTATATAAAAAAAATAAATATAAATATAAATATAAATTTAATATTTATTATTTTACCTCTAAAGTAATTATTGCATTGTACGATTAATGATTTTTTGAGATTTTCAAACTTGAAAGACCTCCTGTTTGGTGCCAATATATTCTTATATAAAGAAAACGATCGTTCTACATCTGCGGATGTTATTGGTGCAAATTTAAAATACGCCATGTCGCTACTGGTTAAATCTTCTGGTATATCCAAATCACCTACATTCTCTTCTTCGCCAGTTAATATTTTTGAAATATTACAAACAATTCGAAATCCTTTGTTTTTGTTGAGAACTGTTTGTAATTTTTTATTAATATCAATTCCAGCGGTACCTGTTAATTGACTAAACTTTGATGAAATATCTTGTATGATTGCAATACCTTCAGATAAGGGTATACCTTGTTTTTGTAGACGCGTTATAGCTATAGGAAGACATGCAAAATTCGAATGTATAAAAGTCAAGTTTCCTTTCATTTGAGGAATTTTAAAATATTTTTGAGCATTTTTTATGGAAAGCGCATCATTCTCATCAAAACTTTCAATTATGTTTTTTACAGTTTGAAAGTTTTCACTATAATATAATACGGTAGAAATCCACGTACCCCAACGTGTCAGAATAGGTTCAGGAGGAGGTAGTGATATATTTGGTGCATCAGTATGAAATTTTTGAACACGATAAGGCGCCTTTTTGAATACTCGTTTAACATTTGCTACCAGTTTTTCAACTTTTGGAAATTGAATACGTATTTGTTCAGAGACTCTATGTAATCCATGGGAAGTACAAGTTACGTGAACCATTTTTGGATACAACACTTTTAATGTATCACCAGCCTTCACCATATAAGGCGCAGCATCACTTAAAAACAGCAATACATCGTTTCGTCTTATTCCGTCAGGCCATAATAAATAAAGTGAATTTTCAAATAGGGAACATATTGTACTATGATTTGTTTTCTGTAATTGTTCGAGGTTAAATAAAACAATTCACCTGGACGATCGAGGAGTAATGTACCGATAATAACTGAAGCAATAAAGCGGCCCTCGGCATCTGTTGTCTCATCTATTGAGACCCAAATTTTCTTTCCCACTACTTTTTGTCTTATTTCGTTTAAAACTTCCTGGTAACAATGGTCAACATTAACTTTGCATAATGTTGTTTGATCTGGAATATTTTGTCCCGTATATTTTATCAAAAATTGTTTGAAATATGTATTACTTAATTTATTTAACGGGATATTAGCATTAAGCATGGCTTTACATAAATCATTATTAAATGATGATTTAGATGACGAATCTTTTGAGATAAGTTGCTGAGTTTTTTTTTTTGTTTTCTGTACGGTTAACTCCTCTTTGGTGTTTTTCAGTGGCTATGTGTTGTGTTACAGAAAAACGTTTATTACTCGCAATTTTAATATTGCATACTGTACAAAATAAAATTTTACTGTCTTGTAAATATATTTCCAAATTCAGAAACGTAGTTTCTTAGACGGGTTGCAACCGATATTTTTTCTTTTGGCATTTTAAAATATACAGTACAACCAGAAATATAAATAAGGAGCTAGTAGGTACTGATTAGGCGCAATAAAATAATAAAATAAACAAAATAAAACTATAACACTCGAATTACGAACACACGCACATCACGGATCGGCGATCGCATCAAACTAATAGAAATAGGTATTATTTTTACAATTGTTGTCCATCAGGCATCAAGTGCAAGTTAATATAGGTAAATATTATTTTACATTTATTTATATTTATAGACCACAACAATACAATAATAATACTGGTCTTGGACAATATTCGGCAAAATAAGAAAACAACTATTTATACCCGAATTTACGTGTAGTCAACCCAACTAAAAATAGAATAAAATGTTCAAAAATAATAAAATTTCTATAAAAAATACTTAGATTATAAATACATTTTATATTATATATTTTATATTTTAGACCAAATTGACCGAAAAAGTATAAATATTAAGAAAAAAGCATTAATACGAAAAAAGTATAAAAACATGCATTTATATGCCCTAACTAGTTAAATATGCAAAAATATGCACTATAAGATTTCGTATTTAGTTATAAACATCGATAATAAATAGATATACAAATAAAAATAAATACTTTAAATATAACCTATATATATTTTTTTATAATCAATTTTTTTATTAAATATATTTATAATCTCATTTTAAAAATGTGCAACATGCTCTAAAAAACATGTTGATGCAATCGGTAAAGCACGATTCCGTACAATTTCTAACAAACAATGGATTATAAAATGATCCCAAAAACAACACGATTCCGTACGATTTTCCATGCAACGTTGACATTTATTATTTATTATTATCGAACGACCGGCTTGCGTTCGTTGTGCGTCGTGCACAACGTATGGACGGCAGTATGCTCAGTATTGTTGCAACCGCGTGTACGATTATACAAATTTAGTGTAGATATATTTATTTAATAATCATTATTATTCATTTTCATTTGAATTATTCGAAATGGAATGGAGTAATGAATTATGTCTAGATTTCATTCAACATTACCAACAACACCCAATGCTATGGAACCCAAAAAATAATTATTATTTTTCTAAAAAAAAAAAGCATGGAAAATTATCTCAACAAATTTAATTAGGGAAGATATTAAAAAAAAATTCTTAAGTTTGTTGGGTTCTTTTCGGCATAAAAAAGTCACTTAAGTGACAATAAAAATTAAATAACTATTAATAAAGTTTAAATTTCAAACACAATATACGAAACACAATATACACTATACGTTCACCACACAATTGAATATCCGGAGCGCAGATTTATCGCATACAAGCTTGTTGTGCGTGGTAATGTCCATACTGAGCACACACAACCACAACGTGAACACACATGCTCGGTCT